CGCCGTCACCCCCCCTACAACACCAAGGGGGGCTGTTAGCGCTTGTCACGGGGCCGTGCCACGGGGCCGCAGCCGGGGGACTCACCTTGACCTCTCTCCTGCCGCTCTCCCACGGCACCCGGGACCCTGGAGAGGAGCACGGGGCCGATGACCACGTCGCCTTCAGCCTCTCTCCCTGGGGAGAAAAGAGCCATAAGGCGGGCTCGTTTCACAACCCTGGGATGTCTACATTGTTCCCGCAGGGACCTTACTGTTTGCATCGTGGCGGCGGAAGCGGTGGCCGGACCATTGCTCAGGGGGGTTGAGTCTCCGGGAGAGCGCGGGGGACTCGCAGTTGCCTGTCTCGCAGCAGCTGCAGATATCCCGGGTGCCTTCCACTGGTGCCCAGCTAGAGCAGGGTGGGAACTTTGTCACCAGAGTCCCCTGGACTAGCACCCACAGAACCTACATTCCCCCCTCCAAGCCTGGGTCCATGACGCATCCCCGTGCCACACCGGGGCTGTGGGATGCTGGTGGACGCCTGCCCAGACATATCCCATCCCGGTTCGGTGGCTACTCACGTGTTTCTGGCTTTGTTGAAGGAGCAAGCCTTGTTCAGGATGTCTGGGGCTTGTTCCGCTGGGGTCACCTTCAGGTGACAGGTGATGTAGATCTGTGGGGAGCGCAGAGGAGAGAGGTGGGCACAAACTTGTAGGGGATGCCAGCTTGGTTTGGGGCTGGCAGGGACACACACATGCAGCCTTACCAGGTTCCTGGCATCCCCCGCGAACCTGAACACGTCGATCCTGAAGCGCAGCATGTCCTCCCGAGGCCGGGGGGTGATGAAGGCAGAGCTGGTGTCGTCCAATCTCCCATCAACCAGGCACCTGGCGTGGGATGGGGTGAGTAGATTAGCATCCCGGCAGGTCCCCCCACCCAGCACTGCCGCAGGCAGGTCCCCCGTGGCTCACCCGTTGAAGTCAATGATGGCATAGTGGGGTGAGGAGTCAGTGCCAGGGCTCAGGGCGGCCACGCAGCTGTCCACGAACAACCGCAGTGGCACGTGGCTCTCGGTGTCCACCTCTGCTTGGATGTTGAGGACGTCGCCCAGTTGGAAACCGGTGAAGGGTCTCTCAGAACTCCAGTCCTCTGCAAGGCAGCACCGGGGTGACAAAGAGAGGGGGCTTCCGTGGGATGAGAGCCAAGGCTCAGCCCAAAAGCAGGAGCACTGGTGTTTGCCATGGGGTGGGTTGGCTTCCCCAGCGGGTCCCCGAACTCCTCCAAGGAAAAGGGTATAAAAGCAAAAGGGTGGAAAATCCCTGTTCACAGGTCAGGATTGATTCCCACCTACCGTTCATGAGGCGTAGGGAGAACACCAGCTTCTCCTCTGACGACAGTGTGGAGCTGAAGGGAGCCCAGGTGGGCCGGATAGCATTGCTGCTCACATTCTCCCTCCTGGGCAAGGACCACCGTGCATCAGGACACAGCCCTGTGCTGGTCCCCAGAGTGGGGGGTATGGAGGGTGGGGAGGCCTTACCTGGGGTAATGGCACTCGATGGGGATGACGGCGGGGTTGCTGCGAATGATGACAGGGTTGCTGGCGGGGCTGGGGTCGTAGTTGAGGAGTGTGCGGTAGACGAGAGAATCTGGCGTGACCTTGGCAGAAAAGAAATGAGAAGTCATCAGAGAGGCCACCCCACATCCCATCACCACCGAGTTGGTATCCATCCTTTCCCTAAGAAAATCTGGGGGAAGTCCAAAGAAAGGAGGGAAAAAGCCAGGGAAAAGTGGATGAAGGAGCCTCTCTCCATTCTCAGTGAGTTAAACTTCCTAATGGGCCAAAATACAAGCAAAATGTGGGGGCTTTGCACCATTAGCATTTCTCTGGCTGAAAGGGAAAAGCAGCTGTGGGGAACAGCACGCTGGCTTGGGAGAAATACCCGCTCGTCCTTCCCCAAGGATGTACCTTGATGGTGCTCTGTGTCCAGAACCAGAGCTCCCCTGGCATCATGGGGGATGCCCGGTGCGTATTCTGCAGCCTGGAGCTGTTCCAGGTGCAGGGGGATGCCAGGCAGGATCCTGGGAGTGGGGGAGCACCACAGGGGAAAGGTCTTACCTGCACAATGCTGCCGCATTCGTGGAGGCCGGCGGTGAAGGTGACAGTGCTGTGAGCAGGATTCAGCGAGGAATGCTTGCATGCCGCTGGCCCCAGCGTCAGGTCAGCCACGTTGACCAAGCGGCCGGTGCCAAAGAGGTCCCTGTGCACCGTCACCACAATCTGAGCCTCCTGGCACTCCACCATCACGGGCTGCTGGCTGGAGATGGCTCGAGATTGGGGGTCTTCCACCCAGGACCAGGTGTGGGGGTCTGCCCGTGCCCCTCGGCTTGCTGGGTCACCCCAGGAGAAATCCCAGGGTGGGTAGGCAGCCACCTCGCCCACTGCCCAGCAGAGAAGAGCGAGGATCAAGCTGCTTTCAGGTCCCATCCCTCCTTCTTCCAGCAAAAAACGGCACAGAGAGCCAGGGCTGCTCCTCCAGCTTTTATATCCCCCCTGAGCAGGAGCCGGCCGCCCTTGGGCTCCTGTTTGGGGACCAATGGCACCCAAAGGCCAGCCCTCGTGGGTGCAGGGAGAGGGGAGGCATGACCAAGTCATTTCCGGGGTACCGGGACCTCCCGTTCCTGGGCTGCCCAAGGCAAGAGAAAACATCCTCGTCAGCCTCTTTGGGGAAGTTGTTTATAAAATTCAGCAGAAGCCGGAGACGGGGAGACTGGTACAAAGTGACTTGTTTAGGTTATAAGGTGATAAGGGGCTTTTCAAGGCTGCTGGGGAGGTGACAAGAGGGGGGGACAGCCGGATCCATGATCCCAATCTGGGTGGGGACCATCCATGGGGACCATCCCTGCCCAGCTTTGTTGGCCCCCTGGGACTTTGGTTTCCTGCTCAGATGCTGCTGTCCTGAGGTGGGGGTGCGGGGGGGAACAGGAGTCCACATGCTCACAGCTCCAGCCAAAACAGGGGCTCTAAGCATCATCTCACTCCTCAGTGGGGCCAGGGCTGGGATGCTTGATCAGCAGTAGCTGATGGAGAACCGTCACCACTGACATGAGTGCAGCTGTTCTCAGCCGGGGCTGAACAACCCCCATTTCAGCCTCGGCAGTGAGGTCATCAGTTGCATTGCTGCAACCTTTCTTTATCTCTGCTGCTCTTCCCCAGTTCTTTGGCTGGTGTTTGTTTTGTTGCCTTCAAGGAAATGGACTTGGGGTAGAAGAAACTGGAGGCAAGGCGCTCCACCCATCGCTCCCTTCCCCATGCTGCAGCACCCCGGTTTGTATCCCACCACCAGGAGCAGGGCTGGGCATTGCCTGGCTCCTCACAACTGGAGAACAGGAAAAACTGCTTAAAAATAAACCACGTATGTTTTCAAGCCTCATTATTGAAGTTTCTGTCCCTTATTTTGAGTATCTTTAACTCTTTTTACCTGCCAGGACTTTGCAAGCATCCTGTTGGCTCCATAAGAGGGATGCTTGGTTTTGTACCCCAAATCCATCTCCATTTTTTGGGATGTCCCTGGCAAGCCTTAGGGACAGTAGAAAGCCTCTGATTTGGGTGTTTGAACTGGAGCAGCTGAGCCATTTCCAGGAAAATAAAAAGAAACAAAGTTTTTGGGGCAGATGTCAGCCAGCCCTCACCCATCTGAAATCCCACCAGGTTTGAAGCTGGAACTGGTTTGTACCTGACTCAGCACCCCCAAAAAACACCCATGTGAAGCTTTACAGATCAGTGTAAAACCCTCCTGCTTTTCCCCCAGTAGCTGATACCCATCCCTGTTGCTGTCAGCGTGTCCAGGATTTCTCCATCATGTTTAAAATACCTTGAGACTGGCACTTGCGTAGAAATGCCGGGAATTCCAGCAGGCTGAGCCCCGTGCGTCAGGGAGATAACGCCAGCGGGCAATGCTGAATCAGTAAATACGTGGCTGCCCTGCTCCCGCTGGAGAGCATCGCTGCTCAGGCAGGGCCTTGGCTGCAAGGACCATGGGAGATGCCTGGTCTCACCCCATTGCATCCCGTAGTGCTGCAGCTCAAGAGCCAGCTCCAGGCTTCTGTCATGGGTGTCTGGGTATCAGTGCTTGATCCCAGAAAGAGCATCCCCTTGATGGGTCCGCTTGTGTTTCACACCTGCTAATTTGACCTGTGTAATCCCCTGGGTGGAGAAACATGCCCAGGCTCAGGGCACAGGAGGTGTTTCTCTATGAGAAATGGAATTTCTGCTTCCAGGTTAGCCCTTGCCAGGACTAGCTGTCCCATCTTTATTCCAAGCACAACCAGCTGAACCAGCAGGCTTAGGAAAGAGCATAAGCTTTTTTTTTTTTTTTTCCTCTTTTGAGGAGGCAGAGACCAGAAAGTCCCAAGGCACTGGACAAGAACAAGCCCCAGTGGTTTTCCCCCATTGCATAAAGGGAACTTTAAAGCACATCTCATTTTTGCTTATAACAGAGTTTGAAGTAAAAAAAAAAAAATCCACCACATGGCAAGGTCAGTCCTGCCGGTAAGCCTCACCAGAGCCAGGGTTACTGCCTGGGAAGAGGCAGGAGCTGCTGGAGGGGGATAGCTAGAGAACCATTCCCAGTTTCTTTGTACACCAGATCTGGCAGATATTTGTCTTCCTTCCCTGGAGCAAACCTAGTTATTTTGCTTAGGTGACTGCAGGACAACTACGCTAAGTGGTATAAAGAGGCTCCTCCATGTGTCTCAGCAAACCAGAGCCATAGTCTTGCTCAGAACACCTGGCCAAGGGATGGTCAGGGCACTGAACATCTAGAGAAGATGCTGATCAAGGAGGAATCAGTTATGTGAATATGTAACACATCAGCAGCGACAACTCATGGTTTAGGAGGTTCAGGCTGGGTGTGGAAATACTTATTTTCCAGGAGGAAGGGCATGCAGAGGTAGGGGATCTCCATCCACAGACATTCCAGCATCAGCCAGGCCAACACCAAGCTGATATATCTGAACTGGAAGCCTTCTGAGATCCCTTCCAGCCACATTTCCATCCCCCTCTGCCCCAAAAGCAGACAGCTTGCATGTTTAAAGGGATGGTGAAGACTCCTTCCAGCTATTCCCCCTAGAAGCTCCTACCTCCCATCTTTCTGAAAGACAAGGACCAAACCCCTCTGACAAGGGTCAGATTATATGACTGACAACCCCAACCCAAAGTCAGTGCAGCTCCCTGATCCAACCCAAAACATATCTTGTAATTTTAGGGAGGGCTAATTTGCTTTTAGATTAGTGAGAAGCTACTGAAGGGATGGAACTGGGGTTTGGGTGGCCCAAAGTCTGAATGCCAGCCCCATACCTTGTGCAAGAGATACCACTGCAAAGCTAGCTCAAGAGGCAGCCATGCTGCAAGCAAGCCCCAGCTCCTCACAGTCTCAGTTTTCCATGAATCCAGCCACCTGAACTGGCCCTGACAACAGATATCACATCCCAGCATGTTCAGCTGGGCCAGTTCCCAGTGCAGCCTAAAGTAAGAACCTGTCTCAGCTAGTGGAAAAGCAACAGGTCTTGGGTTTGGAGCAGGAACATCTTGGTCTTATGGCTGCTGTGCTGAGCAGAGGAGCCAAAGTTTCATAGCAATGAGAGGAGAAAAAAAAAATTCAGATGAGACTTAGGCATGTCAGAAAACCTCTAGAAAGAGGGGGAAAATTGGGGGCAGAAATTCCAGTCCCTGCCCCAAGGACTGTTTACACATAGTTATACGTAACAAGCCTTGGCTGAAATGTATAAACAGTCCTTGGGGCAGGGACTGGAATTCCTGTCTCAGTCTGTCCCAGGAAGAGCCCAACCCATCAGCTCCAAAATTCATGCTCCCTTCCTTACCCAGAAAAGCTTGATTTCTCTCCCAGAAACAGCTTCAGGCAGGAAGAAAGCAGTCCAAGCTTTATTAAACCCTTACTGCCCCTTGGCTTCTTGACTAAGGGGGTGCCTGTGTGGGGCAGACTCAAGTAGTACCACATAAAAGGTAAAATATTTTGAGTCTAAACACAACTCCATGATTCTACAGACAAGCAAACAGAACATCTGGGTGATGAATTTTTTTGCACAGTTCCCACATAGGTGCCCTGGGAGAAGTTCATGGAGGTAAGACTGTACAAAGCCCTGCTGAGGACAGGGATTTGGGACAATGAGATGCTCAAGTTGGGTTTAGGGAGGCAAGGCAGTACAGTTAAAGTCAGCATGAAGACTCAATTTCTCTGTCTGTTAAGGAAGGCTTTTCCACTCCCCTCCCACTCCCCACGCCTCTCAGTCCTTCAATTTATTTTTTTAATGGGATAGACTATAAGAGTTGAAACAAGTGAATTAAATGGGGTTGCTGGGTTTCCGGCAGACAGTCAGAGCTCCTAGAACAGCAAGGATCAGGATGATCAAACCAGCAAATGCAGCCAGCCCCAATACCATCCACAAGCGATCTGCATCTAGGAAGTAGTAAGGAAGTGGTTATGGCCAGAGCCAGGACATGCCACACAAACCATTCCCCTTCCCTGGGTTTGCCCTACCTTGTGAAGACATCCTTCTAACTGGATGATTCTGCCAGCTGTGGATGAAGAGAGGTCCAACCACAACATCTGTTTCTTTCACCAAGGGATCTGGAAGGGAGGACCAGCACTCAAACTTATCTGAGCATCTAGCTCTCCCAAGTCTTGGATTAGCACTGAAAAGCCAACAGGTAGTGAGGCAGCTCCAGCCACCCACCTCTAAGTTACCATGGTGGTGACAGAGACCAAGAGGCACACCAAGACATACCAAGCTGGGAGGGCAGTTCTCTCCGGGCACGTCCTCCTTGCCACTGGGAGGGAGCATGGAGCCTCCTGGAGTGCCTGGCCAAGCCACAGCTCCTCATCTCGCAGCAGGAGCAGACATCCCGGGTGCCTTCCACTGGAGCCCAGCTAGAAGAGAGCCTGATCACTAGCCCACCCTAGGGTAGGAATCCCTCACATGCTTTGGGGTCTCCTAGGAGGGACTAAAGCCCTCCCACCCAAGTGGCCAATCCCACCTTCCTGGAAGATGACACCAGGTGAGAAGCCCAAGCTCTTCACCCTTGGGTAAGCTGCTGTTCTAGCTACTCACAGGCTGCTGGCTTTGTTGAAGGAGCAAGCCTTGTTCAGAGGGTCTGGAGCTTGGTCAGCTGGGGAGACCTTCAGGTGGCAGGTGATGTAGATCTGGGGAGACCAGGCAAAGCAGAGGGGTTAGGCTGTTATTTACCTTTATGGTTTTTCCCATGCACCATGACGTTGGTCTCCAATGGGACCATCAACTCTCCAAGGCAGCTCAAAGCCCCTCTGCTTCATTCAGGCCACTTAAAGATTCAGCTATTGAAGCTCATCTGAACCATTTGTCTCAACCAGTATCAGAACTGGTCTCCAAGGAAGAGCCTTGGCTCACAGGGCCATGATCCAGAAGCAGTAATACAGGGTGATGTCATTC